TAAAGAGGAAGCAGATTGAGCAGTTAATACAGCCATTGCATAGAGATGGCAAACTGTCGCTTGACCAAGCGTTGGTCAAACAAGCCTGGGATAGAATGTCCTCCAGGGTAAGTTCTACCAAGATCCGTTTCCCTTACCCTTGAGCACATTTTCTTGATGAATTAGATGGAAAAACTGGCGTAAAGACCCCCAGGGCTCAGCAAGGTAGTGAAGAGTTTTTATTTGAAGAAAGTTTTGCTTCCTATTCTCTAGGAGAGGGCAGGGAGAGAAGATTTTTCAGCAAGGAATGAGGTTCCCTCATCAAGCCATTCCTAGGATCAGTGGACTTTTAAATAGTAGGAGATGAATGCTTGGCTACTAATAAAAGTGTCATATCTGTCGGCTTTCAGAGAGAAGACAGGTTCATTTGGAAGGAGGTAAAAGTCTGGATAGAACAATTTGAAAGAGATTTGACCAGGGCACAGATGACAGACTCCAGTTTGCAGGATAAATATCAGGTAACGTATGGAAAGGAGTTTTCAAAAGCTTTGTGTGAGTTCTATATATGCCCTTTCATGCCTTCCAATGGTATTAATAAGTAAAACCTTTCAAGGGATAGTAATCTTGCACGCAGTTTAGTACTTGTATTTCTACCGAAATGTCCAGTTCCAGACTGCACCGTGGCCACCGTGGCCATGGATCTTGGAGGCAGCATCACTTTTCCAGAATTCAGCCTTGAACACGACTCAGCTCACAGACACCTCGTCACTGTCTTTATAGAAGTCATGGCCGTGTAGGTGGCACAAAGTACAGAATACCACAAAAACAACAACAACAACAACAAAGCCTTTAGAGGTTCAAATGAAACTTACTATAGAATAAGCTGAAAAAAGGCTTGCAGCGTAACCATTTGGCGTGCACGCAGGATTGACATCAATTTCTATGTCAACCTGCCCAGAGCAGGAAATGGTCTTGAATTAAGCTCATCCCAGGGTCTTGCCTCCAATTTTCATTACAAACGTCTTCCACTGGATGCCCATCGGCGGGGTTCACTTGGAAGACACAAACGTTTTCTAACTGGATTTTCCATTTGAAAGTAGATGCATATTCTGTGCAGCACTGGCATTTCCCTGCTAGCTAAGATCTCAATCCATTACAATGGAGACTCTGGGGAGTACTCCACTCTCTATTATAGTTTTGTCATGGCTGCTTCAAAGAAAAAGGCGTGGGGCAGTGACGTGAGATTCAACATGGCAGGTAATAAAAGATTTAGCTATGGCACCAGGTGTGATTTTGCACAACCATTGCTGTACTGTGTTCTTGAATGTGGATGGCCGATGACTCAATGTTATGCTTGTTGAACTTGACAAAGTGATAAATATGCTCTTCAGTATCCATATTCCTTTGTTTTGAAATTCAGTGTGATTTCAGCCCACCCCGTGCCCCCACTCCCAATACAATTTGGGGGCATGAGTTCCATTAAAATAATTGAACCAGCAAATTGAGAGCAGAACACCAAAACTGACCGAATATACTTTTTTAGTCCACTGATACATGTTAGCTTTGTATGGGTTAGCAACAAATAATTTCCAAGAAATAGCATGAACTGTTATTTAGGTATTAAAAAAAGCAGACATAGGACTTGAAATTTACAAAAGAGTAATTCTCTTTAAAGTCAGAGATGATCACTTACCGCTTAAAATAGGACTAGAGAGCGTTTAAAACCCCCAGACAAGAAATATTTCCTTATATCTGTGTCTATTATGTAATCAACACTTTCTATGTATCCATACACATAAACTAAGAGGGTATGTGCCAGTTTTCCTGTGCGTAGAACTCTGGAATGGAATTCAAGACTGATTTTATATATATATATATAATGAACTTGCAATGATAGGTAAAATTAGTGGTAGAACTTTTATTCACTGTCGCCCCCCAGTGTTCTGAATGTGAACTGACCTGCTTGTTCACGTCTGTGATTTTCAAATTCTTTGAGACTTGTTATCTACTAGAGGGACTCCGTAGAGCCGTTCTTCTGGCCTTAAATGTACATGCACATTTCAATGGCATTTTCAAGTCCTATGTGAATCCGGAGCCATGTTTTAGAATGTATTAACAAGTCTAAGATAGAGAACGGATAAAAAGAACCACTTTTAAAGGTATTGGGCTTATTGTTGAGAGTACATATTATACATGTATTTTAATTATATTCTAGCAAATGATATCGTACTTAATATTTTAATGCAATAAAATGTGAATGCCTATTATGTAAGTGGAGTCTTCTACAGTACTCCTTTCTATCCAGGCTTGGAAACATTTATTTTTCTTTGTTTGACACTCACTTGTGTGTCACAAAAGGATTTAAGTCCATTTCGATCTTACATCTCCTCCTTTTATATCTACTCAGATCAATGTTTAGGTCTGATGGGTAAGGAATGTGGAGGGTTGGACACATTATTTAGGTCTCTTTAATTCAATGTTATTTTAATGTATGTAAATTCCATTAGTAAATTATTTCAAAATTTGAAGCAAAGCAATTCCTTGATGATTAGTATAAACATCTGCTCCTGTTTCATGTCATTTCCTGGGGCACATGGGGTGGCATCCAGATTATTTAACGGAAGATAAAAAAGTATAGTGTGTAGCCCTGCATACATTGCTTGCCCATGCCAAATCACCCTTGGGGTTTCAGCATCCTCACCTGTGGTATGACGTCGCTCTGAACAGCAGCGTGCGTCTGTGTGGTTGGCCTACTGAGGGAGCGAGAGGAGTTGGCGTGAGGAAAGGACTAGGACTAGGCTTGGGTGCAGAAGGCAGGGGCCACGAATGATAGCTGCTATCAGTATCATTACCGCCTTATTATTGCTATCAATAACATATTGAGTGCTATCCAAATAGAAAGGACTGTTATTTCGGAAATGTGGTTTCCTTTGCCTTTGCTGTTTCTGACTCGTTGCCATGTTGTTGCTGCTTTTCCCGTTGCAGTCATTTAAACACTTCCGGGTTCAGTATGAAGTAAAGAGGAAGCAGATTGAGCAGTTAATACAGCCATTGCATAGAGATGGCAAACTGTCACTTGACCAAGCGTTGGTCAAACAAGCCTGGGATAGAATGTCCTCCAGGGTAAGTTCTACCAAGATCCGTTTCCTTTAGGCTTAAGTCGCTCCGATGAGAACCTCTTCCAGCTTTGTTTTCTATACAGTCACTTGGCAGCAGGAGCTACCAGCTCAGCTTGAAGGTGGGGGAGGCTTGCCTGTGGGAGAGTCTTTATCTTTTTGTCAAGTATTTCCTTCAAATGAATGGAAATAAGAGCAAAGGTCGAAAACTTAGAGAACCATAGATGCTGGCATGGGTGTGCGGATCAGAGTTCCTGCTGGGGAGGCTGTAAAAGGGGGCAGGCACTATGGGAAATAGCATGGGGTGTCCTTCAAATGCTGGAAATAGAAATGCCCTGTAACCCAGCAACGCCTCTACTGGGTGTATGCATGTCCTAGAGAAGGAATATCCGTGATATGAATAGATACAAGCCCAGTCACGTGCACAGCAGCACCATTCAAACTAGCAAAAGAGTGGCAAGAACCTAAAGGGCCATGAATGGATGAATGGATTAAAGAAAACCTACGCTGCATATACCCGAGAGAATGCTACACAACTTTAAAAGATAACGATGAGTCTGCAGAACGCCCTGAAGGGCATTATGCGGAGTGAAATGAGACATTGACAGAAGGACACTCTTAAACATTTTTAAAAGCCACTCATATTATAAAAAGCCAAGAAAATGGTTTCATACAAAAAGAAACTTTCTTTGAAGGCTACCAGAGTTGAGGGGTCTCGTTCCTGGTTAGGGAGGGTAGGTAGACCCACATTAATTTGGTAACGGGACAGGTGGGGGTGGAAAGAAGTGGGATGCCTCACTTAGCAATGCTTTTCCTGCCTTGTGGGCGATACCACCCAGTGACTGGATGAGAGATTGAAATCCAATCTAGTTAACTTTTCACTTTACACAACTTCATTCTGGCTTGTTCAGAAGAGGTGGTCCTTGATACATGGGCTCCCTAAATCAAGCCTCAACAAATTCTCTATGTACATATCTGTGCTTGACCCATCCAACAGTTAAGAATCTTGTTATATTTATAAACAATTTAATATTTTAAAAGACTTATCTGACTTTTTGAACCTGAAGGAGACCTGCAGAATATCTTTCACATTCAACTTCTTTGCACTTGAAAATCAAGATTTCAAAACACTTTTCAATCACTCGTAGAAATATCTGTCTTGAACTTTCATATTTTCTTCATAATGATGATCTCATTATTTTTTGATTGGCTTCTCAAGGTTTTTTTTAAATTTTTAAACTTTTTATTGTGAAGCAAGTAAAGATTCACAGAGCAGATCATCAGTTATACATCCAATCATTCACACACGTTTTGTCTCAGCTCATCCACTGCAATCTCCTCAACAGACCATCACTCATCCCACTTCCTCCACGTCCTGTTCCTTCCCTCCTTCTTTCCTAACCCTCCGTACTTGGTCCCTGGATCAATGCTACCCTTTACACATTATCTTAACTCAGTGGCAAGTTCAATTCCATACATGAAGAGTCTTGGGACTCTTACCTGTCTCTAGCCAACAAGTGAGCTTTTTTATGATTTGGGGCTTTGTGCAACTTCATTTAGTCTTCAATATAGTTTGGGGGGAAACTTGAGAATTTCTTGTATTAGAGATAACATATATATATATCTACTTTTTAATTTCAGCTCTTTGATTGGCACACCCAACATGATAAGTCTCTGCCTGCTCCTCTGGGCACTATCGGTGCCTGGCTGTACAGAGCAGAGGTAGCCCTGAGGGAGGAACTTACCATTCAGCAGGTCCACGAGGAAACAGCCAACACCATACAACAGAAACTTGAGCAACACAAGGTAAATATTCTGTTTGGAAGACTTCCAAGAAGACCAGTCATTCTGTAGTCTGGAACCACAGCCACCTAAGGTCACTGCTCCCCCATATATCCATCCACTTCTGACTCAGAGGCAGCACACCTCAAAAGGGCTTTAATTTTCACTTCCTTTTTCATATACATATAGAGAGTCCCCATGACATGTAATGGGCTTGACCTCAGGCAAGCATTAGACTGCTACTCCCAAGATCAGCTGATGAATCAGAATTCACTTGATGGCGGTGAGCCGCTCTGAAGGAGAAAGTTGAAGCTGTCTACTTCTGTTAGATTTCCAGTTCAGAAACCCAATATAGGGTATTAAGAGTTATAATCCACTTGGTGATAGTGGATTTTTCAGATGTTGTGGTTAGGTACTGTGTTAGGGCAGCTTGATTAGAGAAATAAATCCAACGATGCCCATATATGTGTAAGAACAAGCTTTATATCAAGAAGCTTTATATATCAGGAAAACATCCCAGCCCAGTCCAACTCAAGTCTGTCCAACTCAAGTCTGTAAGTCCAATACTAGTCCATAAACCCCGCTTCAGACTCACACAGCTATATGCAATGATGCAGAATGCAGGAAGATCACAGACTGGTGGGTGCAAGTCTTGTGGATCCAATGGTGGTTCAATCACAGGGCTCTGGCAGGTCTCAGAGCTGCGTGTCGGCAGGAAGATGAAAGCAGAGATGGGGGTGCGGTGGGGGTAGGCGGGTTGTTCTCAGGTCCTTCCTTATGAGAAGGCCACACCCACTAGGAAGTACCACCAGGCTGACCTGATTGACAGACTAGACTCCACCCCTACACTTTTATATATCTTCAAGTTGGCATGAAATTATGTAACTACCACAGGTGCCATCAAGTAGGTTTATAGCCATAGCAACCCAATGTGCACCAGAACGGAACCCTTCCTGGTCCTGCTAAATTCTGACAATTGTTAGGTTACAGCCCATTCCACTTTGTCAAAGGACTTCCTCCTTTTGCTGCCCTTCCACTTTACCCGGCATGCTGTTTTTCCAGGGACCGATCTCTTCTGATACCATTTCCAAAATACAAGGGACAAAGTCTAGCTGTCCTTCCTTTTAAGGAGTGTGCTGGCTGTGTTTCTTCCAGTCTGTGGTACTTTCAATAGTCTTTGCCAGCACCATCATTCAAGTGCATTGCTTCTCCTTTGATATTTCTTATTTAGTATCCAACTTTCACACACAGATGAAGTGATTGAAAATACCATGGCTTGGGTCAGGCGCACGTTAGTCTTCAAAGTAACTTCCTCGATTTTCATACACTTATTTAAATAATATACCCACTACCATCACGTCAATGGGCAGAACTGCTCCTGCGAGGTTCCAAGACTTTACAGGTGTCAAAAGCCTCATCTTTCTCCCTCGGAATGGCTGGTGGCTTCTATCTGCGGACCCTGTGGTTAGTAGCCCAACTCATAACCACTAAGCCACCAGAGTCCCTCAAAGAGATGGATTGACCCAGTGGCTGCAACAATGGGATCAGGCATAGGAACAATTGTGAGGCTGGTGCAGGACCGGGCAGTGTTTCCCTCTGTTGTGCACAAGGTCGGTATAGTTTGGAACCAACTTGATGGCAACATCTTTAAGTAACAATTCCACTAGTTCTCTTTCCCAGTAGAGCCGAAGGAATATTTGTTCTCTCCTTGGCTTCATGTTATTTTCTGACAGACAAGCCCATAGATAGCAGGGGATGATATGATCAGGTGATAGCATGTAGATCAGATCTCATCCTGCCCTGACCTTAGGGAAAGGCATGCTGGGCTTCTAGCGCTCTGAGGGAGCCTGCAGATCTGAGAGTCCAGCGCTGCTACCAAGTGGTGGAGTAAGGTCCCCACGTGCTCTCTCTCATTTTACCTTCCTACCTCTATGGTCAATTTCCATGTGGTCAGTTGAAGTTCCAAGACACCACTCTTCCCTGAAAAACATTCTCTTACAATGGTCTGAATCCAGTCTTCAAACAGTGACTACGTATTCAGGGGCAAGAACCAGAAGGACTCTTGAGAATAGGCAGGGGGCTCTGCTAAGCCCTGTTCAGCACCGTGGCAGCACACGGTCTCCAGGGACTGAGGGGTGGTGACCAGGCAGCAAATCTGTGGCTCCTCACAGAAGGCCAGAATTCTCCCAAGGAACTGGCCTCTGGGTCTGGGTGACAGACTGTAGCTGCTGTCATTGGGTGCCCCCGTCAAGTTGGTGCTGACTCACAGCGATCCTGTGCACAACAGAAGGAGGAGGGACTGCCCGGTCCTGCACTATCTCCTCCAGGGCCTTCCTCTGTCAGCTGCTCCTCCACGTTACCGACTTCTCCAGGAACTGGTCTCTCTCAGTAAAATGTCCAAAGTATGAGAGATGAAATATGGCCATCCTTGCCTCAAAGGAGAATTCTGGCTGTGCTTTCTCCAGGACAAATTGGCTTGTTTGTTTGGCATTATACTTCCAATATTCTTCGCCAGCAACATAATTCAAATGTATCAATTTTTCTTCCTCATTCACTGTCTAACTTTCACATGCATATGAATTGATTGAAAATACCCTGGCTTGAGTCAGGCATAACTTACTCCTGAAATAAAATAGACCTAACAAAATGTGCTATTTTTCATCTTTCATTCATATCAGAATTTTATGAATGATTTTGTATAATTGAAAAATTTTTTTAATGAACTTACATGACTGATAGGAATCCTGGTGGCGTAAAGGTGATTCATTGGGCTATATTCCACAAGTTCAGCACTTCGAACCTACCCAGCGACTCCATGGGAGAAAGACAGGCTTCCTACTCCCATAAAGAATTCCAGTCTCTGAGACCTACAGGGGCAGTTCTACCCTGTCCTATGGGGTCGCTATGAATTGGCAGACTCAATGGCAGTGAGCTTGAGTATTGGGGATATGCTTGATAGGAATATTTTTATCCTATAAAGAAAGGTATACTTGTATTGCTTTTCCTATTTTCCAGATATGATTCTGTTATCTACAAAGATGAATAGTAACAACAATCATAGCTAACTATTATTTAGTATTTAACTATATTTCAGTCTTAAATACCTAACTTTTGCTAAACATTTGCCATGCAGGATGTGAAATAGGTAATATCTTCATAAACTTTAGGCAGAGAGGGATTAAAACTTGACTTGCCCAAGGTCACAGAGCTAAAGTTCAGGTTTTCTAGCTTAAGCATTACATTTAAAATGTAATAGTGAAACTATTGCATATAGTATGTGTTGTATGAATATACATATTAGTTTATTAATAGGAGTATTGCTAAGGCAAGACAGGCATTCATTCTTAGGGAATCAAAAAAATAGTCCTTCTGTTATTATTTTATCCATCTCCATCCTTCCAGTCAGTCCCTAGGTCACTTTGTCTCCTTTTGGGAGGATTGCATTTTCTGGATGAAGGTGCATGCCACAATTCTTAATAACTTCAATAACCCCCAGATCATGCTTCCAACATTTGTGTTTTGTGGGATTATAAAGAGACTTCCCCCCAGCTTTGTCTCCCGAAAGACATGTCAAACATTACAGGCTATTTGCCAGCATATGGTGGGAGGTCAGATGCTTAGAGACATCCTCCTTGAAGGCAGTCAGTTGCCAGACAACTGTCTGGGGCCACCACAGGTAGGGCCCGCTCCCTGCCGTTAAGGACAATGGGCTACTTCTCCCTAAAGGCTTGTGACCATTAGTCTGGTCCCTGTGAGTGGGGTTTACACCCTACTGATAATGGTTTCAATGGAGATCCAGAGAACAGGTCAAACCTGCTCAGTGACATCCAAAGTTAGGCTGTCATCCTGAACCTAGGATCACACTTCTTGTCACATGTGTGCCCCCAATCCCTCCCCTTCCTATTACATGTATATCCCTAGATTGTCTCCCTCTCATTGCTGTATTACCCCTTCCCGTGATGTATGTCTTTACCTGTAATTAGTGGGCTTGCACGCCCCCCAAAGATATATAAGCCTTGGTTAGCAATAAAGATTCCCTTTGGCCTCTCATTGGCTCCCGCTTCCTCTCCCAGTCCTAGATCCCCTGTTCCCTTTCCCCTTGTGCTCTTTCCCCTCCCCCTCTCTCCTGTCCTCTGGTCTCCCATCTCCAGGTGGACCACCAAGTGGGGCTGAGGTGAACATGCTACTGTGAAATGTCTTACTCCATTATTTTAATCTCTCTTTTATCTCTCATGCTGTCTAGCACTTTATTATAATATACAGTGAACCCTCGTTTATCGCGGTTAATCGGTTCTAGACCCTACCGTGATAAATGAAATTCCGCGAAGTAGGATTCCTTATTTGTAAATCAAATATTTTCATAGTTAGAGCATAGAGGACATGAAAAAACACCCTTTAGTTACCATTACACTCGTATTACCCAATTTATTAAACGAAAAAGGGAAAATACAGTAAAACATTTTGGACGTTATAATTATCATTTATTATTTATTATATTATTTATGGCATCTAGTTTACAGTATTACATATTTCACATACATATAATAATACATATTTATTATACATAGTTCTTACAAATACTGTAATCAATAGCCTATGAAATGACTTAAGGGATGTACTCTACAGGTGGGTCGCCGTCTTTTTCCTCTGAAGGAGCGGGTGTAGGCAGTGGGTGCTGTTACGCAAAAACCGCGATAGAGTGAAGCCGCGGAAGTCGAAGCGCGAAGTGGCGAGAGTTCACTGTATATGTATATATTTTAACTGTAAAATTGCACCCATTGAATCTGCAATTAGTTGTAGGGGCTGGCCTTTCCCCTATGTGTTTCTTAATCCATTAATCTCCTTTTCCCCGATGACCCTCCCTACTGTCGCCAGAGTCAGAAACTTGAACCTACCGTCCCCAGTAACTACACCCTCTGCGATACGCCATGTCAACTCTCACTCTGCAGTCAAACTTGCTGTGCCTCGGCTCCTTTTCTCGGGTTCCCCCAACTTCAAAAGTCCCCGCCTCCTGTGGGACCCAC